TCTCTTCTCCTCCCCATCTTTATCTTTTTGATATTTGAATACCTGTTTAACGATTGAAGATTAGTCTGCCATTTTGGCCAGACACACTGCCCAGGCTGGGTCTATCGCCCCAAGTCACTGCGGGTGTCTGTACACTGCAGAAAGCATTGCGTTTTGATGTTTCCGTGATGTGTCTGTTCTATAGTGTACACTGTTTCGTTTGAACTTTTGCGGGACTGTTGGCATTCATCCTCTGCCGGCATTCGTATCGCGTGTGCGCAGTGCAGTGCGCTGCCTACTCTCCCTTGTGCTTCAGCGCATGCATAGGGTTGCCGAGCAGTGCATGTTTCTCGTTTCTATCGAACAAGATTTGTTTTCCCATTCTTGTGAATCTATTGTAGGCTGTATTTTCCTGGTGAGTGTGTAGTAGTTACCCTATTTTTGTTCCGGATTGGTTGTGTGTTTGCTGCTGCAGCAGCAGCAAAAGAAAACAATAGCTCCGCCGTCGCGATGGGCAGCAGCCGAGACATCTTCAAGCGACGATGAGGGCCGCGTGGTGAAGAGCCTGAAAGACCGCCGATGGGGCGCTATGAGGGAGGTAATCCGCCAAATGGAAAACCATATGAAGATCCTCGACTTCGCGGAACTAGGAAAGGGTACGCAGCAGAATTCAGTTCAGTTATTTCTTTGTTTCGGCTTTATGTTCCAGTTTTGGTTGTTATATCGAGTGCTTTTGTTTCGTACCGAGTAGTAGTGTGTAGAGTTTCCTTAGACACTAGTGCTCTGCTTGTTGCTATCCGTGCGCCACATCAGCCGCCTCAGCCTCTGTCTTCGTTCATCTGTATTGTCCTTCTTTCCATCTTCGTCTGTTTGGTTTCTGCTGTGAAGACGTCGTAGTCTTTCTTGCTTCACTCATTTGTTTCTCGGTGACATCAGCGACGCGGCTTAGGTCAGATGTAGGGCGTTTGTATCGTTTATGTTGTGTTGCTGTGTTGCGTGTTGGGTTATGTACAGACTACGAGACGCTGCTGAAGAGCTACGCGAAGGCTCACCAGGTGATAGAGCAAGAGGGTGTCCCGAATTTCTTTATTCGTAGTTTGGTGGAGCTTGAGGCATTCATAGAAGAGAAGCTGAAAGATAAAGAAAGCTTTAAGAAACTGTCGCGGCCCAAAGCACTCGCATTGAACACCCTCAGAGCAAAAGTCCGCAAAACAACAGAACCATGGACTGCCAGCATCGCCGAATGCAAAGAAAACCCGGAAAAGTTCGAGACGCAGAGTGAAGAGTCAGATGAGGCCGACGTAAGTCAGCTGCTCGCTCTCTGTTTCCTTGCTGTTTCTCTTGCACTTCTGCACGAAGCACTGAGTTAGGTTTTACTTTTTTGGAATGCATTTAAAAATTTAGATATTGTATTTTATTATTTCCAGTTATTTTATTTTCTGAACTCGCGCGGCTTGCTGCAGCCGGTCTGGCTCGGGGCGGCTCTGCAGTGTACATACAGCTGGTTGTTTTGGGGTTTGTTGCTGTGCAGTCTGACAGTGATTTCAGTGAAGATGAAAGCAGCGAAGAAAGCGAAGAAAGCGAAGAAAGCAGCAGCGACTCTGAAGGAGATGATAAACCGAAAAGAGAAAAGGCAGAGGGCGCATCAGATGACGGGAGTGAATGGTCGGATTCAGAAGCAGATGAAGAAAGCCAAGGTTAGTGATAGTGTATACTGTAT